TATAAATACACACACATGCATGTATATATTTCAGAAAAATATATTTCATATAAATTATATTAATATAAATCTATACATGTATATAGATATTTTCAAAATGTATACTGTATATGTGTATTTATATATACATAATAAATATACACAGTACACACACATATATTATGCAAACAAAAACTTTTATTTTGTATGTGATTAATCGTTTGACAGCATTAATATATACCTGTATATATTCTGTATATATATATATATATATTCAGAATAGAAGCATGAAAATGGTCTCGTGCATATATAAATACACACACATGCATGTATATATTTCAGAAAAATATATTTCATATAAATTATATTAATATAAATCTATACATGTATATAGATATTTTCAAAATGTATACTGTATATGTGTATTTATATATACATAATAAATATACACAGTACACACACATATATTATGCAAACAAAAACTTTTATTTTGTATGTGATTAATCGTTTGACAGCATTAATATATACCTGTATATATTCTGTATATATATATATATATATTCAGAATAGAAGCATGAAAATGGTCTCGTGCTTCTGGACCTCAATTATGTTTTTTTTTGCTAGTAACAAAGAAAACATGTTCCTGAAATATGGATGTAATAATTATTGTGATCATAGTTATTTCATTGTGTGCTTTATCACTTACCTGCCCGCCTGACTTGCCCCGGCCGAACTGTCTGCCCTCTTTAAAGCCTGCGTCCCAGTCTGTTCGGATGATCCGGTCATCCAGCCTCGTGCCATTAATAAACCTCATAGCATGCTCAGCATCAGCGCGAGTGTAATACCTTCACATCGGCGGTTAAAGAACTGACACTAGTTTCACAGTCTCGGTGTCTGAAAGCAGAAGTCTTAGCCCAAATTCAAATGTGATCGTGATCAAAGGTGTTGGAGTTATTTTAAAGAACTAATATATCAAAGGAAATTAAATAACTTCATACTAATCTCAAACACTGATGAGGAATTATGCAAAAGTTGCAATTCCTAAAGAGATAGTTCCCCCCTTAAAATAATAGAAAATTGATTAATTCTAAACCCATTTTCACACATAGAGCACATCAAATATGGTAAACGGAAGCTCAAATATACAGTTTTGATGGAATCGAATTTAAAGCAGGGACAGAAATCACTCAGGTTTAATTACAAATATGTTCATTTGTCTTTTAAAACTGACCTAACAGGGCTCTACAGTGCGACCGAAAACTACTGCGTGCGACTATGAACAATGTTTTAGGAGCACCAGTGCGACTGACCCAGATCATCATCATACTTGTGATTGCGCTCAGGGGAGCTTCAAAGCTTTCTACGTGTTTTTGCAGCGTTGAGTAATGTATCACAGACATATCTCATGAGTCCTTTCATAAGCAAAGTGTAGACGGTGTAAATGTGTTTTTGCAGCTTTGAGTAATGTATCACAGACATATCTCATGAGTCCTTTCATAAGCAAAGTGAGAGATTCATTGCGCAGTGTAGAGAGCTTCGTTTATTATAAATGTGAGAGATCGCTGAACTAAGATGAGTGACAGCTTTTAATGATTTTTAAGGGAGTTTGTAAATGTGATACTGATTTAATACAATACAATTCAATAAACAAGAAGTTAATATTAAGTGACTTACATTGTCTGACTATTGTCTGATTTTGCTCTATTTCATCGTCGAAAATAGTTTTAACCCTTGTGCGACCTTTTGGACATTTTTGTCCTTTTCAGTTTTGTTTTTTGATAATTTTGCCTGTGTTATTGCCAACTGCATAAATTTTGGCACAGGTGTGTATTTTTATTGGAATTTTACTATTTCACTTCCATTTCCTTTAATAAATCTGTTTTGCACTAGGTACAAAAAATTGTTCCTCTCAGGACCTTAAGGACAAAAATGGCCCCATTGAAACCCATTAAAACTGCTATTTTTAAATTTTTTAAACTAATCTAGTGAGTCAGTGATTCATGATTACTCATTCATAAAGACAGTCACTTGCTTCATTCCTGAATGAATCAGCCGTTCGAACGAATCAATTGAATGAATGAATAATCAGTGACTTGCCGCCACCTGCTGGCAGTTTTAGTTTCATTTTTAAAGTATCTTTTCAGTTATTTAAATATTTCTGTATTCAACATTTTATATTTCAAATTAAAACATTAATCTCCACATGAATTTATGGATTTAATTGCACTCATGCCACCTCTGAGCCTCGTTAAATGTCTGAAAATACACCTACAAGCCACTTTTGTGTTCTTCAGTGCCACCTCTGTACAAATTAATTTTATTAATACAATTAATGACATACTTTCAATAAAGTTAAAAAAATGCCATTACAAAGGTAAAAACAAATTTCCACTGTAAATCACTTTAAGGAGTCAAATATCACCTCGTAATGGGAAGGCTAATTTTTTATCAAATTTTGGATTATTGATTAGAAGGTGCTCCTAAAAAGAAAAGTAAGCGTAGAGCCCTGCCTAAAGTCTGAGGTGAGTAAATGGCAGTTTTGGTGGACTGTGCCTTTAAGAGTTTGCAGCAGCAAACAAATGTCAAGTTTAATTTGAACTGTCAGAAAGAGAATAAATGACAGCATTTAAAAGCAGCATTTCACACCCCCTGGTCCTGAGCTGGAAGGATACTCGACGAAACAGAAGCCGCAGGCGGTCTTCTTGACTTTGTCGAGGCCGATGACGATCCTCTTGACGTCTCCGCTCTTGGAGAAGAGCTCATGCACCTGCTCCTCTGTGGTGTAGAAGGACAGGTTTCCCACATACAGCGAGCAGCTCTGCTTCAGCAGCTTCTCCTGCTCGTAACGGTTGCCCTGCAGAGATGTCCAGAGTCACTCCCAGCATCCCTGCACACAGTGGTGTAGTGGTGCCTGGAGAAGTGGGTATACTCTTAATTTATGTCCCCATTTTTTTAAGCGGCCCAGCAAAGGATGAACGGCCTGTGTTATAAACAGTGACGTAAGACTAGTCTTGCATATTTAGTTCACCCCAAAATGGGCCAGTAGTATTTGCACATTTTCACTTACTGTAACTTCTGCTACTTGACTTCACGGAGTAAGGATCATTATGAAATTAATATTAGCCACAAAAGAGGTGCAGATTTTGCAATAAATAATTAAAATGTAAAAATTACATAGACTGCAACAATTAACATTTTGTCAGAACCTCTAGTAGACAAGCTATTTTGTTTAGTTATCTGTAGGAGGATCATGATCTCTATTTGATACAAAAGAAAAAGAAAAAAAAATTGTGATAAATTTATCCAGAATTGTGCAGCCTACTCCTATGTTTGACTGACTGTTTCTCCCATGGCATACAGTGACGGGCAAATAGTAACCCCTACTTCCCCCATACCTTTTTACAATTTATCTATATAGCCTACTATATAGTGC